TACCTTCATCAAGGCAGAATCCGATGAGGCAATCCTTCTTCTTAATAAGATCTCCACTTAATGATCGTGATTTTAAGTAGCACACCTCGTCACTTTCCCCCCATTCGTAGGCCAAGCACGACGGGTCGTCACGGCATTCGACTGCGCAGCTAAAATGATTGTTAAATTAAGTTTTACAGTAACCAAAAAACAGGAAACATACCCTCTATGATCAATGCTTCTAAGCCGTCTATAGTCGCCACCTTCGATACTTAAGCCTTTTTCGGTGTTGAAACATCTTCCTGGAATTGCTATATCTTGATAGTGTCACGGCAAAGCCTAATCCTGAGCTTATCAAAATCGTTGACTTGTTCTCCATCCCCATGTTTTAGCGAAGAGTTTATGGTTGAAGGGAAACCTTTCAGAACGTTTTCAGGATGAATGCATCGGAAAGCGCGCGATGAGGTCATTGGAATCAGGAAGTGACAGCTGCTGCTGCTGCCGCTGCTGCTGTAGCCGTCGTCAAGCTGCGATGAAATGTCAAGCCTAATTCGCTGGCAATATTTGCTTTCGAAATTATATCCTAGAACACGGCTAGGAAGGCACGAAAACAAGATCTAACATCACTTAGGGATTTTACGTAAATTGCTCCAAACATGGAGAAATCTTGTCGCACACTTGCTGTGTTTGACGGATTTCACGGAGATCAGGATTAGCACTTACAAACGCCTGAAGCTTACGCCTTTTTTCCTGCACGGATATTCTTGGCAAATGGAGCTGATAAGCTTTACGAACTATCGTTGGAAGTGCTGGCCACCTATTCTTCATGAATTCATAGCTTTCCAAGTATTAGGACCTGTTCTCGTGCTGACTGCCTCTTTCTTTTTGTTACAAGGTTATAAACGAAGTGTAATGGATCTAATGGGAGGGAGGGGGGGAACGTTGTGAGACTTTTGTAAGCAACAAGGAAGTGGATTTATTTCTCCTACATCATAGATCTCCAATCGCTCCTTAGACAGGCAATTTATCATATTGACAGGCTATTGCCCAATTAGATATATAAGTCACTTAGTGACGACAGTTACGATTTGATTCTATT